AACAGGTGACATATGACAAAATGTGATAGCCGTGAAATTTGAAATTAAATTGAAGTCCAATAATAATCGATAAAATATAACTTATTTTGCAACGCACTTATTTGATGACAAAAACCTCTTAAGCAGCTAAGCTTAATCAACATGCTCTTAAGAAATAATAATTTTACACAAATTTTTTTTTAAAGTTATTTATGGTAACTTTTACCTTTTTCTTTTTGTTAAACCCAGTAGTTTAAAAAGTTGCATTAGTACTTTTTCTATATCTTACTTAGGGCGTGGGCGGTAGAGATTAAAATCGAATTAAAATTGAAAAACTGGCCGTTATTGTTGACTTTTATTAGACGAGTGAGACCCAATAACGACTATATTTTCAATTTTAATTGGATTTTAATCCGGACCAAACACGCTCTTAAAATACTATTTTAAGTAATTACCACTTTTTTTAAATTTTAGCCCATCCTAATGTTAATTTCGGGCTCCACCCCTATGATACCATATGCATGTCCGTTGACCTGATGGTCTTCGTAGTGATCTTATGTTCAATATTTTATCTATTTGATTACTGAACTGAGATTTTAGGTGCATTTAGTTGGTCTGCAATTGGACGGAGTAAATCATCTACTCCAGGTTTCTGTTGTCACCATCGTAGAGTCCTCATCTTTTTTATCCAATTTGTTTGCTCAGTCCACTATTAGAAGCTGAAATCAGATGGAAATGATCTGCAATTTTACGATGCAGTTAGCAGTCAATTTGCTGAGAGTTCTCTGTACAAATATTTCATGGCAAAGGCATAAACTGGGGAAGATTTTACAAGATCAGCGTATCATTTATGTCCAGGTCATTCAGAATACATGCCATATGCCAAATGAACTTCCCATTCTATTTTCTGTTTCTTCTTCATTCTCATTCACGTGAGCATCTTACATCATTTGATTTTTTTCTTGTCACGATGTTCTCATGTCAGTTTCCCTAAATGCATTGATCAATTGCTTTCCTTTCTGAGCGTGAAGTCATATTATATTCGATTCTATGTGAAGAGACCAGGGAATGCATGGTTTAATTTCTACCCATTATTTGGATAATCATGCTAACAAGGTAATCATATTTTAAACGACTCTTGGTAAACATTATTGCTAAAAATTTATCTGTGAAGGTATCGGCAAATAAATTAAAATGGAATTCATGAAAAACAAAATGGAAAATTAATCTCCCATTCGTCTTGTGAGGAACTTACTATTCTTTTTCCAATGTTTGTATATTCAAATTCATTCCCACTTCTTGGGCAATATCATGCTAGATATTGACTTGAAGCAATCTCATTTATGAATAATGAATGCCTTTTTTTTGTAATTTAGTTTTTCTAGTCTTCTTGTGTTCTTAATGGGAGTTATATGCCTAAACTTGCAAATTTCAGAAGATTATGCTAGGATAGTTGGTGCGCCCAACTCATCTAAAACCAAAAAATAAAAATGTCACTTAATAATGATGAAAATAATATATATTATAAACAAAATAAAAAGAATAATTATTTATGACAATGATCAATGAAAATCATAAGTTCCTCTCCGGGGACGTTGCTGATAGTGCTAAGATTTCTATTTTTGTTGATTATAATAAGACAATTAACCAAGTTGGTATACTTATGTTTGCTGTAAGCCTTCATGAATATTTAACTTTCATTTTTTTTTTCTATTTTTTTTGTAAAGAAATGGGATTCAGTTTTGTTTATTGGAATAATGTTTTTGTGTATTTATGTTGCTCGTTTCCCTTTTTTCCCCTCTTCGAGTTTGTTGCCTCCATCTTTTTATACCCCCGTTCCATCCTGTGGGTGCAACCTGCAATAATGCTGCTGTATTTTTCTTAGGCAGTTAAGATATTCAATTTTTGTTTATTTGCTGGTTTTTGAACAATATTCTGGAGCTAGAATACTATGTCATCACGCACATTATTTTTCTCTATGTGGTCATTTTCTTTTTTATTTTCTATTATTAATATTGTCTCGATCTCTGTGTAATTTTCTTGTTTGTTTCCCTTTTCACGTTTCTTGCATCATCTTTTTATACATCCAATCCATTCTGGGGATGCAGCGTTTAATAACAGTGCTGTATTTGTTGAAAACAATTAAAATATACAATTGATTTTTATTGGCTGAATTTTTGAACAATATCTTGGAGCTAAAATATGTCATCACCTGCACATTAATTTTCTCTATGTAGTCCCTGCACCCCCTTCCCCACTACAAGTTTGATTGGTGTTTTATTTTCAGGTTAGACTTGGCAGGAAGCTCTTTGCTTTAAAAACCTATCCTCAATCCAATTTATGTGTTTCAATGCTTTTATTTACGTGAAACAGCTAGAATTGGCTTCCAGAAAGGAGTATGGGGATATCTCACGCCCTTCAGTCGAAGAGGTATATATTTACTTCCCAATGATTATCTCATCTATTATCATGTGAACTGTTAAATACTTTTAGCTGATTGGTGGAGTTCATGAGTTAATTTGCATAAGACGGAAAACCCAAATGGAGGGGGCCCAAGCCTTGGATTCCAAGGGAGAGTTTGATTGTTATTGTCCCCCCTTAGTTTGTACCTTGTGAAAACCACATTCTGTGATTACAAGCCAGTATAAGCTAGTCTCTGAAACAATAGTTTGATATGCATGCAACTGATAAATATGACATGAGACAGTTGCTTCTGTTCTAATTTTTTTTTTTTGGAATCATAGACTGGCCTGCGCCAGACCTGTTAAATTGTCCTAATTTTCCTGTTTTCTACACAAGTTTGATCATTCTCTGCTTTTATTTTGTCAAATTAATGAAGCTCGTCGACATTTGTGTGCTCTGCCATTATTCTCTTTAATGTCTGTTCTTGCAGAATGTATGTGTAAAGATCTGCAAGCACATCCTCGTTTGGGTAGAAGAGCAAACATATTGGATAGCTTCGTACTTCTGATGCTGGGCTTTGAATTGGATCTATATTCTCCTAGTGAATATTGCATGGCGTATTGGTACATACATGTCATTCTGATGAAACTTGCAGAGAAAATACATATCAAAATGATGATGAGCAATGAAAACAGTGAGTATCTGTCTTAGTCGTCTTTGTCTGCTACTTACATAAAAAAGAAACACATGGAATTTTCAAAATTGACCTTGTTCTGATTTCACGAGATTTGAATCACGTTTTTCTGTATACTACCTGCAAATCTGTTTCTGGAAATAATTGTGATGTTAGACAGATTCTAAATATATTGTTCAAAACCAAAGTTAAAGCTATGAATGCGGCTCTCTAAGTTTTAACTTTTAGAAGAGACGGTAACATGGTATGAATACGGAGGTCCTCAATTCAAGTCTTGCTGCCACCCATTTATGAAAATAGCACAAATTATAGACGTTAGATTAGAAATGAATCTGGCTTTCATGTTGGGCGGCATGTTGAAGACTAAAAGTAAGTACATAAATGTGTTATCTCTTTATAAGCTTAAACTTTTAGACGAAATAGTTTAATAAGATGTTAATCATCTCTTCTGAGAGTTTAGGCTTTTAGATGAGATGATTAATTTTCTATAAATAGGCAAACTTAGCATTTGTTTGATTCCTATTTTTAAAAAATATATTTTTTTCTCCTCCTTTCAACCGAACGTTGTCTAAAGTTATTGCTTGGAGACAGTTCATTAGTAATTCACATAGTTCAATTGCACATGAAATGTCCCTGTTGCACTAAATGTTCCTGCAGTTATAGCCTGCATGAAATTGCTCTATTGGGAAAGAAAGACTAGATGTTAAGACTTTTCTGTAATTTTCCAATGGAAGATGCTGGATGTTGCTTTTGAAATCTTCCAACACTTCTGCTTTCTGACCAGGTCGACGGAAAACAAAGAAGAAGAGAGATTTTGAGAGGGACATAGGACAGGACCATCATACTCCCCCTGCTGTCTTATTGTTCCAGTGCTACATCTACATTGCTGAAGGTCTTATGCTGGTAATGATGCTGGATGTTGCTTTTGAAATCTTCCGACACTTCTGCTTTCTGACCAGGTCGACGGAAAACAAAGAAGAAGAGAGATTTTGTGAGGGACATAGGAAAGGACCATCAGACTCCCCCTGCTGTTTTATTGTTCCAGTGCTACACTACTTTGCTGAAGGTCTTATGCTGGTAATGATCATGTAATAATGAATATTTGGTTCAGTTTTTCAGCCATAAGGTTCAATAGTGATCCCATTTTTTCAGATGCTTGCAGCACGAAATTAACGCAAGGTCTTTCTAAGTCTGGGTCCTTTCAACAGTGAGCACGAGGTATTTTTCCTGTACCACTTCGTGATTGTTTGAGCATGAGGTATTTTTCTCTGTACTGGTTTCAGTGATCTGTGTTTGAACTTTTGTTACTTGAAACAGAGAAAAAAGGGGCATCCTTATGAATAGCTGACTAATTTGGGAACTTATATTTTTATTCTAAATAGAGCCCCTGTTTGTCCCCCATTATTTTAGAACTCTTTTTTTTTTACATACTTATTTCAACCGCGCATTCATACAATAAAATATTTTACACATAAACCCAAAACTTTTTCGTACTTTTAACCACACATTCTCCAAAAAATATTATTAAAAAAAAATGTTTTTCCAAAAAAAATGGCCACCAAACAGGGGCATAAACTTATCTGCACAGTTAGTAAATGACGTTCTTTTCTTTGCCAGCAGGCTTTTGAGCAACGATTGAATTAGATGTGTAGAACTATGCCCTTTTTGTGGTTCACTTCTGTAGTTTCTTGTGTTTTGGTTTATTGTTGTATGTGTTTGAATGGTGAAAATGTGGATGATGCAATTTTTACAACATTCACAATTCTCTCAAAGATTTATCCAGCACTTCGAGCTCTTACAGAAGGCTTGCCTTCCCAATCATGTCTCTTACTTTTCATTCAGGGAAACCACAACGCATGCTCGTTTCTCTGTGAGTACTTGTTGCATCAACTAATGAGTCTATTTTTATTTCCATTTTCTCCATATGCAGACTCTATCTGTATATAACTGATTCAAGGATGCCCAGAGGATTGCAAAGGAGCTACAGAATAGTTTTGCTAATGATCCTGACTGAATAGCTGAGCTTCGCCGAATAGAGCAGGTTGCAGAGCACAATGGTATTGCCCTAAACCTTATTTGCCGGTTAGGGACTCTTGAGCCATCACTTAAAGTTTCTTTCGAATTCACCCACCATCCTTACCTTGCAGTTGCTGTCGTGAAGAGATCTTGAAAATGGTCCTCGATGATCTCTACTAATTTTGATGTGCTTGATAGGTTTCTGCAATATTTTTTCTTTCAGGCTTAGTTGCTGCATCATTTTTTTCGGTTTGGACCATTGATTTTTATCTTCATCATAATTTAGTAATGTGTAATTTGCAAGTTTTGACGAATAATTTCTCATTAATGCTGTACGATATAAAATCTGTTGCAGTATAAATTATCGTAACTGAGTTTATAAAGAGTTAGCAACAAGAACCATTTTACAGAATAGGTGGAAGCTCTTAAAGCAATAAATTGCGAAACTGGAAGCTTTGCATCTGGTTTTTCCTTTTTTCTCGATAAATCTTTTACTCATAATGACTTCATACCAATCATTTAGTTCAAATATTAAGTGCATGTTTGGTACACAATAGTTGACATGGACAGTATAAAAATAAGATTATTTCTTATTTTTTTTATGGTACTGTCCATCTTATTATATTCTGTACCAAATACGCCATAAAAGTTCTTTTGTACCCCATTGTGATATTCCTTGGCTGTCTCTTTTTTTGTTATTCTTTTCTGCTAACCGTGACTTGTGAACATGAAAATTAGTTGAATTCTTAAGACTTTTGCTTCATATGTTGTACTACAATCTCGGCTTTTTGATACTTCAATTCACAGTTTTATTGTGAAAATTTTGTTCTTTGATGAATCTGGCCTCGTTATGATTCAGAAATATAGTTGTACTGTGTATGTAATCATTAAATTAATTTCTATTTAAATAAGAAAATAGTAACTTATGAGTTAATTTATGAAAAAGAAAAATAAACAAATGATACCTTTACTATAAGCAAAAACTGTATGGTCTTCATCATTGTATGAAGATCTTGAATTTGAAATTGAATCTACAGTTAAAGTTAAAAGACAAAAACCTAAATTTTAAGTGGGGATTCTACAGGTTAAAAAAAAAAAACCTAATCCCTGAATTGAACTATATATGTATACATGTTGCAAATCCTTTGCCATGGGATTGCCAAGCTACCTGTTAACTTCAGTCTTCAAGTGAGGGTTGTGAAATTATCGATAAAAGCAATCAAGAAGAGCCATTCATTGTCGAGCGGCCAGGGAGGGACCTAACACTAGTGTTTCAACTTGGCAAGAGCTTATTGTGTTTTCCCAAATTTAAGATCCACATAAATTGCAGGAAGGGTAGCTTTTGCATTATTGGTTATGCTTTTATCACGAATTGGTGGGCCTTCTCAAGATCTCCCAGCATTGCGTAGTTGGCAGTGGTGTTTGCACAAATAACTCCAAATCTCCAACTGCCTCTTCTGGTCTGATGAGCACAAACCCTTCGGATTCATTTGAACTACCAATCGACTCTTCAGAACCAGCCATTTTTTCCGTTATCCCCTTTTCACAATCCACTTGGCTATATGGAAGCTCCACACTATTCCCACCAGATATATGCATCATCAAATGCTCAGCAGCTTGATTAGGCTGATTTAGCAGACAGAGAGCCTCAGCTGCATACATATTTCCCAAAAAGATGTATATTCTTGAGCACCCTGGGAGTCTCAAAAGAGACCTTGCTGCAGATAGGACTTTCAAAGGATTTCCCCGTTCCAGCTCTACACATGCCAAATCAGTAGAAACTGCTTCCTTCATCATCTGATTCTCTTTTCGGCAAATATCCTCATATTCTGCAGTGGAGTTCTGAAAACAAGTGCTATAACTGTTTCCAACCTTCTGTTCTTTCCCTTCCCCATTTACATTGACCTGACCTGACCTGACCCAATTGGTGCATCAGAGGCCTTAGAATCACTACCAGCATAATTTTTGTGGGTAATACTCTTATAACACTGTTTCTCTCAATTCACTTTCTTGGAACTATGAGGCAAACCAGATTTAGAATATCTTGACTCAGAGCAGTCCAATTAATACAACGCATTGACAAGACACTGCCGGGCAAGAGAAATTGAGAGAGTAATACATACTTGAAATTCCAATTTCTGTCCCAAGTCGGTAAAAAATGCACCCGAGGTTGTTATAATACATACTTGAAATTCCAATTTCTGTCCCATTACTTGATGCCATCTTTTCGAACTAACGAAACTGATGATTCCCACGAGCATATTCAACTGTGACTTCAAACAGAGAGCCATGGGGTAATCTTCCCCACGAACTATGTTCCTAGCCATTTTAACTTCCCGCTTGGCTGCCTTAAGATTCCTGGTGAGGAAATAACGAACCTTGTAAAAATGCAGCCTAGTTCTTAGATCAATGGTTGAATGAGACTCCTCAGCTTGGCTCCTTGGAAGATCAGTACTCAAAGCAAGCCCACCTGGTCTTTGAAGTTTCTGCTCACTGATGTCATGAGAAGATGATAACCGTAATGATTCATCTTCAAGTACTTCCTCCGATAAAGCTCTAGAGAGAAATTTCCAAGGTATTTGCATTAGCATCCGAATCAGAAGAAAAAGCATTGAATTTGTGGGAAGTAGAGCATGTTTGGCTTTGCTTCTTTCTCAAAGAAAGTCGTTTTTAATTTATGTCAAAATAATTAACTTTTTCACGAGCTCGACTGCACTGTGCCATATGAATGAAGAGCAAGAAGAACATTGCATGCTTGACACCGCCAACTGTCATTGAATTTTAAAATATTTTCTGAGGACTCAACGCAGCTTTTAGCAATATTCCTATGCATCTTTTTATCACATTTCATTTGCAAATTAACAATTTTGATTACGTGAAAAAACAGAATCATTAAATTTTCAAACGGTTTGGGGTGACAAATGTGAGACATCGTTAAAAGTTGAGTAAAAATTGAAGTTAGGTGATGGCTAGGAAACAATTTTATAAAGTGATAATTTGAAAAAGTTTTGCAGTTAAGGGACTATTGGGAAACAATTTAAATAGATTGATTTTCACCATTCGGAATATTAATTTCTGAAGCCTGTTTGAGCCATATTGCGGGTTTTTTTGCCATCACTAATCACATCAACATATTACGCATTATGGTCTGTGCAGTTTTTGGAAAAATACGTTTTGAAATAGTGATTTGATGATGAATGTATAGTTAAAAAAATAAGGAAATTTTTTGAATTCACGTGTAATATTATTTTATTGAAAAATGTGTGGTTGAAAATAAGAGAGAAAAATGTATTTTAAAAATAATGAGGACCAAAAAAGAACTTGGTAATAATTATATTCACACATTTTTGTTACACCACAATTTAATTGTACTAAAGGTCCTCAATCTTTCCTTAGTATTGCACTTATGACCCCAAATATTGCATAACATGGCTATGCAATACATCAAACACCAAAATCAACAACGCGCCATACAATGATACAAACCCCCAGATACTAACATTAGTCAAATAAGAGTCCCCATGTCCTGGCTGTCTTGTGATTCTTCATTTCCTTGTGAGAAATCAACACTAGTGTAAGTCCGGATTCCAGGCCCGTGTCCACTACAATCCATCATCCGCCCTTGCTGTGCTCGTCTCACTTCTTTCTGATGTTCTGTTAGCTCAGGTCTTTTCCTTTTTGAACTCAAACTCGTCACGTCATTATGCTGCAAACCATTTGTAACATTCTCCATAAATTCGACTCTTTTGAAACATCTGTTCAGCGTTGCAGTTACCCTGAAGTTTTGGCAGGCAGTATTGCTGTCTTCTCTACAGTGACTTCTTCTGCATAGGTTTATTTTTCCATTTCTTGAGAGTTTGTGTAATACAGGAACCAAGTTTTGTGGGTAGTCTAACTTGATCTGCTTGCTATAAGTAGAATTCCAAAAATTAATGGTGGGCTCTGATATGGAAGGATCAGGGTGATCAAGAGTTCTTTCAAGGAGGGGATCTTGGAACTTGAGGAATGAGGAGTCGAATTTAACCGATGGCTGACTTCGGCATAAACTTTTAAGGATTTCTTCCCACAATAGTTGAAGTTGTTTGTTTGTGTTCTCATCGAATAGATGCATGTCCGACAGCCACCCAAGCAATGGACTTGACATTTCCTGAGGAGAAAAAGTGGTAAACTAGGATTCAGCAGTCAGCATTGGAGCAAAAGTAGTTCTAGGATAACACATGCCATTGAGTGACTAAATCCCCTTCAGATTACTTTGATTAACCTTTTCCAAAATATCTACGAGGATGCAAAGCAGAAAAGAAATTTATGGTGTTCAACCTAGCAAATGATGAGGGTGCTGTCTCCAAAAATTGCTGGACGACACATGCAATTTAAAGAAGAACGTTCTTCGTGAAAGTAATAGTATCTACCTGAAGTCCAAAGGGAAACACAGTAAAAATACAAAGAGGAATCACAAACCTTAATTAATGTAACAATATCTTCCCTCAGGTGAAGACAGCTAACAAAGTGTATCAATGCTGACAAAAAACTGCAACTTTTGGAATTAGAAACTGATTTTAAAGTCATCAAATTGGAAGGCCTAATAAATTACAGAAGCAGAACATATTATTACCTTGATGGTACAGAGAGCTTTGCTGGTGCATCGATCTCTTTCTTCACCAGGAACAGCTTCATAAACCTGCGTGAACCATGTACTATAAGAACCAAAAGTTACAGATATTCTGGCATATAAGTAGAAAATTTTACAGATGCCATTTTCTCCTCTCAAAATTTAAATTAATTCTGAGGATATAGAAACAACTCAAAACTAGGAAATATCGAGCCATGTACATTTTCTACTTGACAGACAAAAGATGCTAATGATTATTCTTGTAGTATTAAATTTATAAATTTTAATCCTCACTAACATTCACCATTCTGACTCCAAGTAAAAGAATCACATTACTGAGGAAAGAAAAACTGAAAAGGTTATACTGTGTGCAAACACTGCATGAGTAACACAAGAAACGGGCATTCATAATAAGTGAGAAACTGTACAAAGCCCCCATGATCCTATTTAATATATTTGTTATTCTAACAAAACAAAACTTCCTTTTTAGAATTCTACGTCTACCAATTCTTACGAGTTGTCAAGTCCACGGGTACCAACAATGGCCTAGCAAGACCTGAAAGAAAAACCAAATTAATTTTGTTACTGATTTTCCAATCAGATCATTGTTGTTGTATGTTCTGGAACTTCTTTGTGTTCATGACAGAGCCATGAGATTATTGCTTCTTAACCTGTACTGTAAGCTTAGAGAATATTTTAATGTATTCATGTCGATACAACTGTAAAAAGCCAATTCAATGTCATTGACTGAGAGTGGTCAAAGGATTGCAACACATTGTGCCTTTCGTGGTATAAAACTATACCCAAGTTCATGCTTACCGAGCAGCTAACTCCATGCTATTCTTCATGTTGCTGCAAATTCTGCCATCACAATCCATGTTTTTGCTTCCCTTAAAGCTTATGCTCAAAGTTGATTGCTCCAGGAAATACAAGATGATGCTTTCATACAGTAAAAGAAACCCCTGATTCTCTACAGTGCCAGCTGCTAGTCCAACTTCATCAAAAAATCCATTCAATATTGAGCACAGATCCTCTGAGAAACTCTTCACTGGGGAATCCTCAGATTGTAAAGAATGGTTAGCAGACACAAAAAGCAACTTCCACAGTTCAATAACATCATGAAGCTCAAGCTTAATCTGAGGAAAAGAGCACAAAGCAAATGGGTATGACAGGAAATATAATGCTACAGAATAACCAAGGTTGTCTGACTCCATATTCAGCACCAACGGATCCCTTCTACCATCTATGTAGTCTTTCAGATAGTTTGCTAGAACTATCCAAATCTTTAAGCAATTGAATACTTTGTGTTTGTACAGTAAACCAATAAATGCACGAAGAACTTCCAGAGGATCACCTAAAGTTAATAAAAACTTCACATATCCATTCATTGATAGTAATATGGATTCACAATCAGGTGCCTTTAAAGTTGAATGTACTACCACATAGAAATAGAGTCTACTCAAATACATGACTGGTGACACCATGTCCATATTATTAACAAAGCAGATACCTTCCACCATTACACTTCTAACCTCACCAGCAGGTTTTAATTTTTCAATGCACTTGAGGTCTAATGACACTTTGTAAAGGGGAGATCGCAACATGGAGTAATCTAGCCCCTTAGATGCCACCTCTAAAAATTGAAGGCTAATAAGGCATGAATCATCAATGCAACTATCTTCCAAAGTCAAATTTTCACATAGTTTCCCCAAGAACCTCAAAATTGTGTTCAAACACTGCATCACCTCATCATAAGTAATGGAAGCATATTTCAGAGAAGTGTTAACTGCTTTTAGAAGAGATTTGAATAACCTAAGGGCAGCATCACCCGCCAGTCTTCTGAACTCCGGGGTGACCGTGGCTTTGGATCCTTGAGTGGCAAGGATATAAATCAATTTTGTAAAGAAATCCAGCTGACATAGATCCCAAGATGACCATTTTATTGGATGGAGTTTCAATAAGCATTTACCAGTTACAAGATTCCCAACTACGGGAATTTGAGCAGATAATTTCACGGTTTCCTGGATATGCAGGTTATTAGTCTCATCCTTATTTCTCCCCAAAATAAGAGCATCAAGCAGATCCACACAGGAATTAAATAACCAGATGTTCCTATTTTCAGGTCCAACTTGGAAGATCACTTTGATGATGGGCTCCCAAACAGTTTCGATCACTGACTGACAGCTAATATAAGTATCGAGTTTATGTAATAGATAAGACCATGTATTCAGACAGGATGCATGGACAGAAACATCACATTTACTTGACATGATTCCTATGAGGGGTTTCATTATAAGCTTAATTCTTTTTAGATGTCCGTTTGCTTTCATTTGCCTGTCACTTCCTTCAGACGTCCTCAATTCTTGAGTGTCATGCTCTAGAACAGAATTGGTTGAGCAAGGCATTGGAGGCTCAATTAAAGAATCAATAAGACCTTCCCAGGCAACCTGCAACAAGTAGGAAATCCAATATTTCATTTAGAAATTATACCAAGTCATCAAGGCATACAGAGAAGCTACTTTTAGTTTGGAAAAGATGAGTTCCAATGGTGGCACCAAAGAAGATAAATTTTAAAAATAAGAAATACTTTTATAATTTCTATTTGATGCAGAAAAATAAGAACTACTTACATAATTATTACGTCCCCTGCCTTAGTTCATTGCAGGGTTAGTAATACAATCGTGTAAAGAGTAAAATATGGGAAATGTTTGGCTGAAATAATTAAGTTGGGTAAATCACTCAACTCTTGGCCATGTTATTATAGTTCCACGAAATTAATGAAATAAATAAAGATAAAGCATATGTGGTTCCATGAAATCAAGGAACAAATAAAGATAAAAGTAAATTGACATAAATTTAGAAGTCAATGTTCTGCATATTAATGAAGTTAAAAACAATAGCTGTCTATTCGAAGCTACATATTGATGGAATTTTTTTTTTTTATTATGTTTAAAGGAGGCAGATGACATTTTCTAAAGTAATATGTAGGGGAAAGGTACGATAGCAATAATTTTAATAATTTAGGGAGGAAAATTTTTCTCAAGTTGAAAAGATATTTGGACTTTTTGTGATTGAGGGATACCAGGGAAGAAATCTGAGATGGCGAGTCAAAGTCAGAGAATGTCTTCTCAAGAAGTTTCAGCATTTCATTAACTAAATGTTTATTCTTTGTAGCATAAGGTCCCAGCAAACGAATAAACCATCCCCATGCTTGCAGACTTTGGATCTTCATCCCTTGGTCCATTAGTTCCTTCATTGCAGAGAGCAATTTTTTCTTCATATCTATCACAAGAGCCTGCTTCAGAAAAAAGAGCTAGAGTAATATTTTAGCAACAAAAAGATGTTATGCAATTTTGCAAGCATTAACTTCCCCTCCCACCCCCATTCTCAAATAAAATGAAAAAGAAAAGAAAAGAAAAGGTCAACAATGTAAAATAAAAGCAGAGAAAAAAAAAATGCAGAAGTCTAATCAGAAAGGTAAAATCAATAGACAAACTCCTTACATGCTGAGGATTTACTGTTTTCGAGACTGAATTAGGGACAACAGTGATTAAATTAATTGTTGCAATAACAAGCAATAGGATCTTGCACCTTGCAGAGAATTAATGGCGGCGGAGATATTACGGACCTAATCTTCAGCAAGCATCTCTCAGACATATCTCTATCCCTTTTATCAACACTTACAAGTCGTCTATAAATTGGAGGAGCCCATACATTTGAAATTTCTTTCATCTTTTCAGTTAATGAACTAGTCAACTTCACCACAGCCTGTCAGAGCACACTAAAAGAAAATTAATAAAAAAAATTGACCCGTAAAGCATATGCAATACATCCGCATATGAAAGAATTCTAGGAGACGAAAATTTCTCAAGTGGACAAAAGATAGGGTACAACATTATTATAGTACTGTAGTTTGTAAAAACTATTTTACAGCCAAGAATATTGAGCATATGGCCATTGGCAGGCAATTTTCCTACTAACTTCTTAATATGCTTGATTGAATCTTACAGTGAATACATTGTTCAATTTCCATGATATTTCTGTGCCTAACTGTTTGTAGATAGCGCATATAAGACTGGAAAATTGTTATCTTTCTTGAAGAGTCTTCTAATTCAAATTTCAATTAGAAGTAAGTATGAGAATCTTGGTTAGCTAATTAACACAGTTTGTGTTTATGAAACTAATGATATTGCTTGTTTCTCACACGAAAGCCTTAATGGACATAGATATGCATTTTATAGCAGGGTAGACCAATGTTAGCAAGGGTTCCTGAACAAAGGGTATACTTATGGGGTTGAATATGATTATTAGGATTGCCTGGCCCCACAAACAAATATTTTTTGGCTTTGCCACTGATAATATTATTCTCTTCTCATCCTTCAGAACTAACTGTCATGCTATTAAGAATACTTCACTGATAAATGCCTAAAGAGCTTGCTTTTTGCAGTTTGCAGTGCAACCACATAGAAAGATAAGCAAAAAGATGTTATTAGGATGTTGAACATGCACCAGTACCTGCATTGCTTCAAAGGTTGTTGAAAAGGAACCTATAGGATTGTCAAGGGCATGGATAACTGCCCTCAGCAACGAATGCAAATTGTTAGCCAAAGTTGATTCATTGAATTGTTGGATTGATATACACCACACTCCTAAATTGCAAATTGACTGCACCCAAGGTCGCAAAAGCTTGTCAATTCTTTTAAAATAGGAAGATAATTCGGTAAAGCAAAAGAATTTCAGGTCACCTTGATTTTTGTAGTTGTAATGACCTTTACAAGAGATTCAATGATGATATTGGCATCATCACCTACATTTGACATAAAAAGGATCACATTAACTAATAACAAAAAATTCTGATACTTTATTTCGTGAAAGTAGGTATTAATACTTTTTGTTAGTTAATCTCTTTTCAAATATGAATTCTTTTTATACTTCCAAAATGTACCTTATTAACGTCTATATCATAAAATTCGAACTAATAAATATATTTATGACATCTGTATTAAAGTAGAAGCAAAAACATATAAATCATACAGTCGAATGCACATATAAATAATTTTCAAGAGGAATTTATTTAAAATGATTAAATAAAAAATTGGGAATTTAAATTTGACATAATTCAAGTACAATCCGCCAAAAGAAATCAACGACCTTTAATTGAACCCAGGATACAAGGGTGGTAAATCATGAATCCCAAACACTTCAATGCTGGAGCCGCACTAAAAAAAAAACCAAAAGAAAAAAAAATTATTATTCCAATAAAACTAAAAACGAAGTCCAAAAAACGCGAATTTATACAAAAAAAAAAAAAAACTAAGGGACATACATTTCTTCATCGTAATTAGCGATATCGACGACAACAGATGAGAGAATATCGTGGATTGAATCCGCAAGTATTTGAATGGAAGATGTATCTTCGGTGGATTGTTGTTGGAAGTGCAAGAGTTTTGAGTAAGCTAAAGGCTTGTTTTTTGAGGATAAAAGACCTTTGATTTCTTCAATTTGCTCTTTGGATTCGAAATTCTCCATTTGCACGATTAGTTTGTCACCTTTTTCTAGGGATTTTTGGTGTGAGAAAATTGAAAACTGCATCAATTTTGCCCTAATAAAGAAAATGGCAGTATAGTTTCTTGGCGCCAAAATGTAGTGAATAACAAATGGTCAAAAAACTCTGGAGAGGTCACCCAACTTTAAGCTAAGTTTTATTTGAGTTATTCAATTTTAATTTATTTCATGTTTGTCACTAAATTTCATTTTTAATGTATTAGTTAGGTCGGTACTAAGTATTAACATGTACGGTTTAAATTAGGGATGGGTAAAACTTTCAAACCGAACTGAATAGATCAAACCGGACCCAAGCCGAATTGAACCGAACGATTTTTCTTCATTTAAATACCTGAACGAGTATCTGAATCAAAAACATACGAGTTCGGTTCGGTTCTCTGATTCTAGATCAAGAACCGAATGACCGAATCTTTTATCTTAAATAAGTCAAATTATTTTATTTTTTCTAAACAAATTTACTAACTAATTAATTTAACTCAAATCCAAAATATGATTTACTATTTTTAATTTCCAGCAAAGCCCAATTTAATCAAATTGATCTAAATTTTATTCAAATATCTTGTTCTACCGTAGTGTTGTTTCTATCGTTATATTATTGTGAACTCTCAATCTTTTTTTTCATGCTATTTTAACAGTCAAATTTATGAAGAATTCAATAAAGGGGGCGCAAAAGATATCATGTGATCGGATTACGCTATTTTGTAATGGGTAAGATTGAACATGCCATATTTGAATTAATGTAGCATTGTTGTAAGGTTGTGTTTGATGAATATTATTAAGGAAATAATGTATTTTAAATAGTGATATGATATGAAATATGTCGTTAAAAAGTAAAAAAAATATTGATATGATGAAAAATATTATTTTATTGAAAATTTGTGGTTGAAAATGAGTTTTGAAATAATGTATTTTGAGAGAATGTGTATCAAACATGGGCTAAATAAATAAAAAATTAATTATTGTACAGAATTCGGAAACTGAATGGAATCGAACCCGAACAGATCCACATTTAAATTTGGACTCAATGGTTCTACTTACTAAATTTGGACCTCTGCGCTTTAACCGATAAAAACCACCCCTAAATTGTTCATTTTTGATACATTCGATTATACAACCAACATGCCATTCTCTTTACAACAAATAGTCGTTGTCTTAGCAACTCAAATAAATAAGATAGCAGATGGATAACCAAGTAGCTATTCATACTGTCGAAAACCCAATTTTTAATAAACATACATAGCATAATGAAATCAATAAATCACTTTGTTCGTGAAATAACTTTCAATTGCAACTTTTATATTTGTCTGCCATGAATATTCACATGTGCATTCACATCTTTTTGGCACTAGAATAACAAATGGGGCTTGGGTGTTAATAGGGCACAGGGGCGGAGCCAACTCGTCGAAGTAGGGGGGTCCCAGAGGTTCGGGGGGCAGCGTCTCGAAATTTTTTTTTGAAACATTATCTATTGAAATGAGGGAAGTTTGTATTTTGTGATGGAAAAAGAAAACAAATGAACATAAATTAATATACATTATTAACAAAAAAATCAAGAAACGTATAAAAGAAAGTACTAATATTTAATTTAGCAAAATCATACCTTATTACAAGCATTCCCTTCGAGCCTGGTATCCAAAACATAGCACGTTTAGTCATTCAATGTTTACGAGTCTGGTATCTTATTAATAAAAAATCAAGAATCGTATAAAAGAAAGTACTGATATTTAATTTAGCAAAATCATATATTATTACTAACGTTCCTTTCGAGTTTAAGTTTTTGGGTTGGTAGGGTTTAAGTTTTTTATTTATTTGAGGACAAAATGGTAAATACAAAAAATGAAATTTTAAAATAAAAAAAATTTGTGAAAAAATTTTGGTGGGAGGGGGGTCCGCCCCTGATAGGGCCAGTTGAAATTTTATAGAAAATCGAAACTTTTTTTTATTTTGAAAATAAAATCGAGTTAGACTAAGACGTCACTTTAAATTTGAATCAAGAAATAATAAAAAATATTGTTCTCGACCATAGCAAAGAAGTATTTTAAATGGATGATAGCATCAGAGTATCCTCAATTTCGATGTCCTACAATATGCTGGATTAGAGTTTTAAATAATCCTCAATTTAAACTTTGCTGACACGTAATTGATAAATATCAATTTGAATTAGAGTATTGAATCATCGCATGAATCAATCATGATGCTCCCATTATTAGGTATCCCATCATCAATTATTGAAGAAATATCTGCCGTCTGATGATGACCTGAGAATTGTTGGATACACGTGTAACCAGCTCATTGGTAGCAACAAGTCAAAACTTAGTAATTGTGTAAACCGCGTCCAGCCAAGTTTCAATCTAAGCAAGGACACCATCTTTTCTACTGTTGGACCAGAATCGCGATAGAAGATATTATTTAATTGAGATGCGTGTAACCTTAGGAGATGGCTAAAACATGTGGTATACAAGTGACTCTAATTCAAATTTCGTCGCCATCTATTTAAATCAAATGGCATGGAATCGATTCGTATCTACTGTAAGGAATAGTTGAAGACAATATTTTAACTTTATCTCACGATCTACTTGTGGCTCAGCTTTTTAAATCAAGTGAATTAATACAATTGGGTCACGGGTATTCAAGACTAGCCAATTTCAATTCATAGTTCCATATCATCATCATCATTATAAGTTGGTTTATTTCTTAATTTCTACTTCTATATTTTCATTAACTTACTAGATCCATCGTTTCTTAAAGATCTAGCTACAATTATAGGGTTCGAAGTGGTTCAATTTTCACGTTTCAACTAATCATTTACTGAATTTTGCAGGGTAGCCAAGAAGAAGAAGAAGAAAAAGGAGCCATGACGATCAAGACTACTATAGGAATAGTTGAAAGGAAACTCGTCATGAAGGGCCAGACGATATTAACAAATGTGCCAGACAATGTGGTAGCAACTTCTGGTGCAGAGGCTGGGCCGATCGAGGGGGTGTTCTTGGGTGCAGTATTTGATCAAAACAACAGTAGGCATGTGGTGTCACTTGGCACATTACGCGAAGTTCGATTCATAGCATGTTTCAGGTACCTCTTATGGTGGATGGCTCAGAAAATGGGGGATAAGGGCAGTGATATTCCAGTGGAAACACAGTTCTTGCTGCTGGAAACTAAGGACGAATCAGATAATAATGGAATTGTTTATACTGTTATCCTTCCTTTTATTGAAGGGCCATTTAAAGCTAGTCTTCAGGGGAATGATAAGGACGAGGTGGAGTTATGTTTAGAGAGTGGGGATAGTGAGACTGTTGGATCTGCGTTTGGGCATTTGGTGTACATCTGTGCCGGTACTGATCCATTCGAGACCATACACGAGGCTATGAGGGCTGTGAAGTTGCATCTTGGGACATTCAGGCTAAGGGATGAGAAAAAATTGCCTGGGATTCTGGATTATTTTGGGTGGTGCACTTGGGATGCCTTTTACCGGGAGGTGTCTCAGGAAGGGGTTGAGGCCGGCCTACAAAGTCTCTGTGCCAGTCGAACCCCTCCTAAGTTCGTCATCATTGATGATGGTTGGCAAACAGTTGGATTTGACGATGAGAAAAAAGAAGTTAGAAACGCATATTATGTGCCTCTGTTGAGGCTGACAGGAATTAAGGAAAACTCAAAATTTCAGAACAAAGATGATCCGACAGTGGGAATTAAGCATATAGTCAATATTGCAAAAGAAAAGTATGGGTTGAAGTACGTGTACATTTGGCACACAATCACTGGCTATTGGGCCGGGGTTCGACCAGGGGTGAAGGAGATGGAGGAATATGGATCTTTCCTTCAGTACCCAAAGTTGTCCAAGGGAGTAGTAGAGAATGAACCAGGGTGGAAAAATGATGCAATTACAGTAGAGGGTTTAGGTCTAGTGAATCCCAAGAATGTGTACAAGTTTTACAATGATTTGCACAGCTATTTAGCCTCTGCTGGAATAGATGGGGTCAAAGTGGATGAACAATGCATATTGGAGACCCTTGGGGCCAGTTTAGGGGGTCGGGTCGAGTTAACCAGGCAATATCATCAAGCTCTCGATGCTTCTGTTTCTAAGAATTTCCCTGATAACGGATGCATCGCATGTATGTGCCACAATATTGATTCACTTTACTGGTATATAAGTTTCTTGTCCATTTGCTTGTAACACTGGATTTATGATCATTTTTAAGTACTTTTCTTTAATTACTTATAAGTAACCTTTTAAGCTTAGTGGCTATGTTCTGATAATTTTGTAAAACAGCTCAAAACAAACTGCTATAGTGAGAGCATCAGATGATTTCTTCCCGAGCAGACCTGTATCACATACAATCCACATTGCTACTGTTTCATACAACAGTCTCTTCTTAGGAGAATTCATGGTGCCAGATTGGGATATGTTCCATTCTCTTCATCCGGCAGCCGAGTACCATGGATCAGCAAGGGCCATCAGCGGTGGACCTGTCTATGTTAGGTAATAAATCCTAGTTTATTCAGTCAGTTGGTAACAATCCTAGTTCGTTACAATTGACTACGTTAATTCCTTTAATGACAGTGATGCACCTGGCAAGCACAATTTTGATCTTCTAAAGAAGCTTGTTCTTCCTGATGGATCGATTCTTCGAGCACAACTCCCTGGTCGGCCTACCAAGGATTGTCTATTTTCTGACCCTGCTCGTGATGGTGTTAGGTAAGCATTGTCAAGTCAAGATTATTAGCAAGTCAAGATTATTAGTATTACCATCATCAAAGTCCAAGAGTATATTATCTGATTAAGCAAGAAATTGGCAATTTCAGCTTATTGAAGATATGGAACATGAACGAGTATACTTGAGTACTTGGAGTGTACAACTGCCAAGGTGCAGCATGGGATAGTGTTGAGAAGCAGAACACATTCCATCAAACTAAATCCGAAGCAATAACCGGCTATTTTTGGGGCCATGATGTCCATCTTATTTCTGAAGTTGCATTGGACTCCAACTGGAATGGAGATTGTGTTGTGTACTCTCACCAGAGTGGTGATCTCGTCACTTTGCCAGACAATGTTGCCATGTCTGTGTCACTCAAGGTCCTCGAGCATGAAATTTACACGATTACTCCAATTAAAGTATTGGGACCCGTCAGTTTTGCACCTTTGGGTCTCATTGACATGTTCAACTCTGGTGGAGCAATAGAAGGACTCAAGTATGAAGTTAAGACCGGTTCACAGTCATCTGAAGAAATACCCGAGAACTTGAGCATAGGATTGGTTGTATTAGTGTCGATAAAGGTAAAAGGCTGTGGGCGTTTTGGTGCCTACTCATCGGCTAAGCCTAGTAAGTGCAAGGTGGGAATATCTGAGGTCGACTTTGCATATGAATTAGCCTCTGGTTTGATAACACTGAACCTCGATGATATGCCTCCCGAGGATCAAAAAGTTCACAACGTTGAGATTGAGTTATGATCATTCCTTTTAGGCTAAATTAAGGAGCATATGATGAGGAGTGATGGAGAACGCCATTCCTCCACGACTGCTGATTTGTGAACTACTATTTATATTCTACAAGAGACAACGTGTTTGATTGGTACAAAGATCACAATTTCCCCTTTCATATATTATGTTCGGATTCGTGTTATCTTGTAATAATTGCTTACCCTAGTGGATTGTGAGATTTTTCTCCTATCCTTTGGCAAAATAAAATTGTCATCTTCTGCATTTTTTGGGCATGTTTTTTGTAAGTTACACACATCCATTGATTGTTTTGAAGACTTTGAGGATGTTTGGCTAAACGTACAGTGATTACTTATAAGTAAACAAGTAAGTTTTAAAATCACTAGTATTTTTTAGTTATGAAATCCAGAAATAAATAAATTATTATGAGAGTTACTTTCAACAAAGAGCAAAAGAAAAGTAATTTTATTTCAAGCATGTTTATTGAACCATGCCACCCGCATCCTAACTTGAACTGTTTTCTAAAGTCAAGGATCGAACCGGATCGGACCGACCTCGTGCCCGCATCGAGGCTCGATTTAAGCTGGTTGCCTCCATGCGGGCATAAACTGGCCAATTTAGGGATATAGCCTGGGTTGTCTTTCAAATATAAGGATTGGACCAAAGATTTCACCAATATTTTAGGCCATGACGGTCCAGCACACAATTGTTTTATAGTTTTATTGCCTTTTAAATTAAGTCATAATTCAAATAAATAAATATTTTTATTAATGTGTGTGCAGATTACATCATTATATTTTTTGTGAAATACAAAAAATAATTTACAATTACAATTTATTAGCTGTAATAGATACAAAATTAGAGTTTAGGGTGTGTTTGTCTCCCACTATTGGGAGAAAAATAGAGTAATGAATAGTATTTTTTGGAGAATGTATGGTTGAAATTTAAAATAACTTTATTGGTTTATGTGTAGAATATTTTATTGAGTGAATGTGTGGTGGAGAATTTTACTGTAGCAAACAATGTTTTAGATTAATGGTAGACAAACAGGGGCTTATTTAACTTTTATTAAATTAATCATAGATTCAGTCAGACCTTTTTTATCGACGAATTGAAATATTTGTTGAATTATCTCATGAATGTTATTGGTTGATTGTTTACTACTATATGCTTGATGTATAAAGCCGCTTTTTTGATCTTATTCCAATACATGAATGCTTAATAGTGTTATAAGGAAATTAGATCTTATAGTTACAATTGAAATTAAGTTGATTTGATGGTTTGTTTTACTAATCATGAATTGATTTTGAGATTGACTTAGTTTTTATTAAATTGGTCATAGAATTAGTCATGCTCTATCTATGGATTGATTGAAATAATTACTTATGTTTTAATCTCCAATTATTTAAGTTTATTGGTGTGAATCTCTACTGATTTATGCTTTAGTATATAGTCGATTTTGAATCTGATTTCGATAAACCAAGTGTGAACATTACAATAGGAAGAAACAGTTTTTGACTTGTCAAAAGTCACGTCAGGACGTTAGGCTTGTGTCCTCTAAAAGCTCTTTTAACTAGACAAAGCAGTTTCAAAAAAATTATCCGAACATATTCGAAAGCAACTTTTTTTTATCTCAAAAGTATCTTTCAACTTTTCAAATGCTTTACCAAACGGGCCCCTATATATTGGAGGGATTACTAGTATTTTACATTCAAATATTTACCCCCTAAAAGCACTATCAAAGTGGAATAGATTAAGAAATAAGTAATAATATAATTTGAAAAGGCTAAGTGATCAAGATATTTTGAAGACATATCCGATGGTTTGAATCTTTAATTTTGGAAAGAGAACTCGT